AAGCATAAAATCTTTCTCAGATAAACAAATAAATGTTAGAGATGAAAGCAGAATTAAATACATCTTTCATTTTTCTAATTTTTTTCCTGTCATATGCAAACTAACCATGAAGACACTCAACACTTAAAAACAACTAGATAAGAAGTGCTCTAAAATCAGACTAATAGTCTCAATTATTACGTTAAAAACAAGCACATTAATTATAAAAGCAAAACTAAGATAGCCCTTATTCTACAGTCAGAGTTCTTTTATATAATATATTTTGCATCCATTTGGGGATGGGTTTTTTCCCCTTTTCTCTTCCATTCCATTCATTAAAAATAATGATTGTCTCCCCTCTGTAAAAGTATAATAAACATCCAGTTTGTCTTTTAAAATACAGTTGTCAAATTTAAAGGGTAAATATACAAGAGATTTATCCTAGAGGTCTTTAAGGCACAGAGTTTGTTAGGAATAATGTCTTGTATCCATATGAACTGCTACCCAGGGAGCCGTATAGAACCTTACATGTAATATTTTATTTTTTAAAATAAGCTAGAAGGGATATTAAAAGTATCTACTTGAAGTTGCACTGCAGTGCTTAACTCCTGGGAAGCAATGGTTTCACAGTGCTTGCTACTAACTACACAAACACTTTTGAATTGGCAATCTGTGGTAAGAATAAACTACAAACTCCATAACAAGAAAACCTTGTCCCCCTCCTAACTGGAATATTTTCATCGAGAACACTGACAAAGGAACACAAAGGAACATGGAAAAGATGAAGCCTAGAAACCATCCTTTAGGGATAATGATGACAGGTTTAAGTTCTAGTTTTACAATGAAGAATGTGTGTGCAGGTGTGTATGTGTGTGTATGTATGTGCGCGCGCACGCACGCATATATGTGTATATGAGAAAGAGAAGAGAGGGGGAGAGAGGAAAGAGACAGACAGTAAGTGGCAGAGACTGACCAAATGGTTGGCTATTTGGTTTGCAGGATTATCCTACTTCAGTAGATTTGTAGATCTACTGAATCTAGGATGAGAATGGGATCATCCTAACTAACTGTCAGCTACATTTTCAACATAAAGTCAGCATGCCTAAATTAAGCAATCCTGTCAATCAGAGGAAACTTTAGCGAGATGAAATACTGTGGAAGAAGCCCTAAGGGCCATGCAAGTCTAGAATTAGGCCGCGGTGTGTGCTGGCTAGATAGGAGAGCAAGACTGGTACAAAAACAAACCAAAAGAAGACCCCACAACAAGGCAGTATAGGATAGCAAAGTTAGTTGGCTAAATGACAGAAAAGCCTCAAAAGAGGAAAATTCAAATGACCTGTGACTTTTGAGGATTAAGAGAACATCACAGATTCACAGACCCAGAAAACACGTGGTGTCTGGCCCTCCAGCGTCCAACAAGAATCAAGAACTGCAGTATGTCTCAAGACTGGGTGAAGTACCATACCTACTTCTAATTGTAAAATACAATAATATATATTTTAATCAAGACATATTTAGGTTTAATTTAATTAAATAATTTACCATGCTTTAACTGGAATTAAGACAGAATAGTTGTTAAGACAATGGACTTAAGAAGAACGAATAGTATATAGTCTTTGCAGGTGGCCAGACTTGAACTCAAATCACATATTCACCACTAATCCAGGCACTTTGCAGCCTCCCATCAGCCATTTATGGCAATCCAGGGGTTCTGTCCTCATGCTTGTACTTCATGGTTGCAGACACCACAACCAGTCAAATGTAAGAAAGGGGAGTTGGCCTTCTTCTTTTATAAGTAAAATTTAAAATCAAACCACTTTGCTGGAAGAACTCCCAGTAGTCACCCACTTAACTCTAATTTGCCACAACTTGGAGACTGATCAACCCAAGCTGCAAGGAGAGTAGGGAAAATTTGGCAAAGGAGAATGGGATCATCCTAACTAATTTAAGTCCATGTTACTTCACTCCCAAGGGCTGGATACTTATCCATCCTAAAGAAAACTGTGATTCTGTTAACAAGGAAGAAGGCTGTTAAGTGGGCAATGATCAGTATCTGTCACAATACCTTAGATGAAACAAAAAATGTAATTGTAAGCATCTGAGGGTGAAAAAAATGATTTTTAAATAACAGATTCTTTCAGTTCAGTAAAGATACTACAGAATGAAAAATGAATAAAATATCCTCGATATCTAGTTTAAGGTACAGTCTAAGAAAGTAGAAATGCTTCATCCTGGAACGAATGATTAACATTTCATAACACAAAAGTTAATGCCTTCCCTCAAGCCCCATAGTCAAAACTTTTTTCTGTATCTTGTGAAGTATCTAAGGCAAAGCTGTAATATAACCTAAGAATAACAATAACTATTGACAACTTTTGACAGAATAACTTGAGCTTTCGTAATCTATAATAAAACTAAACATCTCTAACACGAACCATGATATATTCTTTTAGTTGTCAAGATAAAGCAGAATCAAACTGATTAATTAGGCTGAAGTATTTATTCTTTTAATAATAAAATACATTTCAGATAGTAAGATTATAACAACAACAACTACATGTTCAGAAGTGAGAAAAACACCAATATGTACCTACATTCAAAGTCTTTCTCATCAGACACAATCGTATTTGTTCAGAGTATTTTGCATAGAAGGCAATATTGGTGTTTAATCATTTTACCTTTATGAGTTTTGATGATTTCATGTACCAAGTATACAAAAAAGTAACAATTGGAGAGCACAAATTTTTCATATCTTTAAAAATCTCCACAGATCTCAGACTTATTTGGTGTAACAAAAGGTTACTCTTGCACTTCAATCTAGGACTGAATGCACGTATTTGTTAATTTAGTATTGTGCGATCAAGTTTTCATGCTACTGCTATTTTTCTAAAAGTATTCAAAAAAGTTACTTGGTAAAGAGTAGAGAAGTTATCATTGTTCAAATATAAGTTAAACTAGCAAGACATGTCTTTGGGTTAAAGACTGATTACATTAGTATGGTTAACTGCAAAGGCTAAATGGCATACCTTGAAAGATGACAGACACCATTGTTAGGCCGTGGAGGTTATGGCTATCAGAGAGTAAGGCTTTATACATCATCATCTTTCAGATATCCACCTCCCAAATAAGACTGCTTCAAAGAGCACTGTGACACTTAGCCTCAAATGCTTCAGGCTTCAAAGGGAGTAGGGAAGCCATATGCGCAGAAGTGTTTGCTTGCTATCCACACACATATATTTGTGATACAATAATGTAATTCTGAAAAACTGCATAATCAAAATGAAATCAAACAAGAGATATAGAAATGGCTCATTTTAATGTTCTAATCACTGTGGAAATTTATTATATTTAATGGTACTGTTAAATGAAAAAGTGCCATAAAGTCAACTGGATTACTTGACCTTAAGTAATATAATACAATTGGTGCTGCAAAAACACAATTAAATGGGATGTGAAAGCAACCATAAACAGTCATATTTTAACACAGCAATAGTCACAACTTTTATATTAACATGTTCATTGAAATTCCTCATACTATTAGTGACTCAACAATATTCACTAATTACTATATTCACAATATTCACTATATCAGAATATAAAACACTAAATTATGTAAAGAAGGATACACGTTACATAAAAAAAAAAATTCTGAATACGCACTAAAACAGCATTTTACTTTTAAAATCCTAAGCCATGTAACTGGAATGCTCACCGTTATTCCATCTGACGCTATGCATTCTCAGAGACGATACATGGCTTTCATACAGAAAATGGTTACTCTCTGAATTCCTCAAGTTCCTACTAGGAACAGCAAGTTACATTTAAGTCACAAGCTGCTATGTCTCCTGTGGCCACTTTACAAGCAGCAGATGGGTACAGGTACTGGAGGTAAGGTGGGCATTGCAGCTTCCAACATGCTCTTCCTCTAAGAACCTATCTGCTCTAACTCCATTCATTATCAGCCCAAAACTTTTCATTCCTGCCCAAACCAATGCAGTCCTACACACAGGCTTATCCGATTATTTTAAAAAGTACATAACACTTAAAGTTTTATATTATTTGTGATAATAAATGGCAAAAACATTAGCTATGTTAACCACCATAGGATAGTCTTCCACTATTTAACCATCAGGAGAATACACAGGAATACATACAAATGGAGAATAAGGAGGAAGAGATGTTCAAGGGGATTTCATCCCGTCTCTTCTCTCAGTTAAAATGTAATGAGTATTTACCTCCATCTTTTCAGTGTGTCCCATAAGACTCTTATTTTCTAAATTATTATTATTAGGGATGAGGGTCTCACTCCATTGCCCAGGGTGGAGTGCAGTGGCACAATCCTGGCTCACTGCAGCCTTGAACTCCTGGGATCAAGTAATCCTCCCACCTCAGCCTCCTGAGTAATTGAGACCAGAGGCACATGCCACCATGCCCAGCTCATGAGACCCTTTCTAATAGGTCCTCCTATTTCCTACTTCCTAACAAACCAGAATTCAGAATTGAGTTCTGTGTCCCTCAAATCTACTCATCCTTCAAGAGTAGGTCAAAGGTTACCAATTCTATAAAGCCACTTCCAGTTTGTCACAGTCCAAATCAACCTCTCCATCTTTCACCTCTCATTGCACTTGCCTACCTCTACCTCAACAGACTTTAAAGCCTTGGACATATCCGCCTTTCAACTCTCGTTATTCGTACAGAGCAGATACAATGAACCAAACTAGAAGATCTACTCTTAGGCCAAAAATTGTTACCCACACTCACACCCATGTACATAATGAAATCACAAGACAATGAGAAAACACATGTGGTTGGTTCTAAATGAAGCTTCTTTCCCACTGACCAGGTGTCTTTAGAGGATGAGTGTACTTCACTGCTCTGCTTTCTCTAAAGAAATATCTACTGTAGTCATAATAACCAATTCCATAGTTGCAGAAATTCTCAAAGATGCTGATAGAGAAGCAACATCCTCGTAATAGGTATTTTTTTGTAAAAGCTGAAAATGCATCCTGAGCTCTAATTACCTGTAATGCTCACTGATGGGAATGGTCTGAGAGAAGTATAAAGCAGATGTCCGGGCTCTCCAATGCCATTTCTTTGCAGGAAGAGTATAAAGGACGCAGTCTCCTAACTCTTCTTGGAGAAGATCCACCAGCTGTTTATGGGAGCCTCCATAGAATGCTTCAATGATGAGGATACTCATTGGCCCGTTCAAACCTTCAGATCCTAGATAACAACCAAAAAATGTGTATTTTTCCATTACATACATGTATAAAATTTTTAATAAAAATAAGCTCAAATTTTATACTCAGAAAATACAAATAATTTAGCAATGTATTATTTTTTAAAATAGGCTTATCCCATTATTTTAAAAAGTATATAACACTTAAAGTTTTATATCATTTGTGTTAATAAGAAGAAATAAAAGTGTCTTTATTTTTCTGATTTGTTTTCCTCATATCGTACGATTATCTCCCCTATGACTTTAGTTTATTCTCCAACACCACAAAGCTGAAAGCCCTCACCTGCTGTGATCACTCACTTCCTGGTTTGTTCGGCTGTAAGCCCAACTCAGTAATCTCAGAAACTACTTGACTTAGAGCTCTAGTCTTGGACAGTCACTGAACTCATCTCCTAATGACGACTTTCACTTCCAGAGCCCTTCATTTATTAGGCCCTTTCTGGTTCAGAAATTCTCTGATTCTGTAACTCTTGTATTACTACATCTCTAAATTCACCAGGTATAACTGCCCCTAGTGAATACGTATTTAAAAGAAGGCATATCAACCATATGCAAATCTCTATTTTCTAGTGTTAAAAACTTGAGGATGCAATTTCTTGAGACACTACACATACTTTGATCACTTCCCCACACTTGCCAATACATCACCCCCAAAGGAACACCAAAACAATGTGGTAAAGTTGTATGTGCGTGAACCAATAAGATTTCTACAACTTTTCTTTAGACAAGCAACCTATTAAGAGAGATAAAGCAGCAATAATGGGGTTAATAAAGACATGATAAAATTTCATCACAGAGAATTTGCTATCAAGCAATTTTTCATTTTAATATAATTTTTGTTAATGTGCTCAGTGAAATAAAAAGATATCTATGAACATAAAATCTCTCATATACATCTCAAATTATATGTTATTTCCTGTAAGACATAGGGGAAAAACATCATTCCATGCATAAATGCTATATTGCTTAAAAAAATTCCAGATGTTTGAATTTTCCTTTATGACTTAAGTAAATATTACTCATTAAATAGCATATTGCTTTTCTTAATAATGTTGTTCCACAAAATTATTAGTCTCAATGACTCGATATTCTTCACTAATAAAACTACACTTCACTTTGTTCAAAGTAATGGCCACTTAAATTGCATTTCAAAGCAAAAAGGCTTCTTTTTGATGTCTAAATTTTCCAATGAGCATTTGGGAGGATGGGGGAACATATTTATATATTATGTGGGCGGCTGTGTATGTGTATTTCATTTAAATGCAAAATAAGAATCAGTGGTCCTCAGATGGAAAAGGCACGAATCCTAGGATCAAGGACATACACGTTTGAACCTCAGCTCTGTCACTTCCAAGCTGTATGACCTTGGACAAGTTACCTAACTTTGTAGGACCCAGTCTCATCATCTCCAAAATAGAGACAACAGTACTAACCTCAGACGTGTGTTGTTAAGATAAAATTAGAAAATGCATGTGAGGCACAGTAGACTAAACAGTAAGAAGGTATTTAGCCCATCCCACCATTAGTATAAATCACTCTACTTAAGGAGAAAGAATCTCTTCAAATTTTCTACCATTTTAAGTTCAGTAATTTTCAATCGTGGTCTCCTACCCACCAAGAATAGATGAGGAAAGTGGATATACATATGCGTTTGAAATTGCAGTGGGTGTTTACCCGTTCCTTGTCAGTAGCTTGCATTTTAAACATGAATTTGAGAGCCCTGCAGGTTTTGTGAGTAAGAAGTAAGCTCAGAGTCCCAGCTATGCAGAGTTCATGGTCCACTGGAGACTTCTGTTCTAATAAGGCAGTGTTCAACAAGTTCACAGACACCCTCTAGGTTCAACAAGTGGTAGCCATTAATCCTTCAAATGATGGAAATTTCTAGAAAGTAACTGAAAAGAATAAAAGGCAATTTTGAAAATTATACCAAGAGTTTCAAGACAGAATATAAGCAGTTTCACATTAATTTGCTTACCTGATTACATCGTAGATATCTACTATCTTGCTTTATTTCCTCTGACCTACTAATGCTAAGGTGTATTAAATATATGCCCTGTATGTACTTAAAAGGTCTCTAAAGGCTCTTGTAAAAACGACCTATTTCCCCAAGTGATGAAATGTGATATAAACCACTCTAAAGAATACCTCACTCATCTAACCTCAAAGAAAGCAATATCAATATTGGAAAAGAAAACTGCTTTCTGATTCTTCATCATCTTGTCCTTTTCCATGATTAATCTAAAGTACATATCATGATGTTTCTTATGGGCCTGGTTCACAAGTTATCTGCAAATTATCAGCAGCCACTATGGAGGCAGTACATGTAGGTGCTGCTGTAGATTCAAGACGCTCAGTAGGCAGAACTGAACACTAAGCATGTGGGAGGCTGAAAAATAGAAAAGGGGAAAAAAAGATTATAGCTATAGTGGATTTCCACCCCTCTGACAGTTCAGTAAGAAGAGTGAAATGTACAGGTTTGAACTAGCATTTACGTGAACATTTTTTCCACTGGCCAATGGGTGTGCCTGCATTTGGGGTGTTTTTCTAGGGAAAATAACTATGTCCTACCATCTCTGAAAACTATACTTAGTGGCTTTGATTCATGGAAATTTGTTCTACTTGTTTTGTGGAGACAGACATATCCTGGCAGTTCCCCTACTTACTTCTATTGCAACTTTTGCAGCAAGATGAAAATGCGTTCTTCCCTATGGTCTTCTTGAAGCACAACCTGGAAGAAAGATGATTCCCATTAGATACAAATAAATGGGGGGAAGCTGGTTTTTAAATATATGATTCAAACCAAATGGCATACAGCACATTAAAGAACAGTTCAAATACTTTGGCTAAGCTTGAGTTTTGTTTTAGAAAACTGCTTGAAACAAATAAGCATGAGGTTGAAAAAAGAAAAAGAAAAAAAAAAAAAACACTTCGCTGCTATGGTGGAATTTGCTAAAATACAAAGGAAATACACTATTTGCCCATTTCAGCAACAGTCAGAGAAAGCTACAAGTGGTCACCTTGATACCGCAGATGTTCACAAGCATGTAGAGTGAATACAGACATTTTTGCACCACTAGCAAAGGCTACTAAGGAGTACTTGGAACCAGCAGTAATAGGGCCTCACTGTTTAAGGTGCTAACTCCAAACCAAGGACAGCGTTTCCTTTATAGGAGGAGGCTGTGGCCAGATGTTTGCCAGAAGATGGCAGAGAGCCAAAAGTCTCCTATTGGTGCCTGAGTTTATGAGCCTGTTAAAGCATTGTCCCAAGTACCACCAGAAACCTCAAATTATGAAACATTTAAACTGATTAAGAATACCAGAATGAGGCTGGGTGCGGTGGTTCACGCCTGTAATCCCAGCACTGTGGGAGGTTGAGGCAGATGGATCACCTGAGGTCAGGAGTTCGAAAGCAGATTGGCCAACACGGTGAAAGCCTGTCTCTACGAAAAATACAAAATTAGCCAGGCATGGTGACGCATGCTTGTAATCCCAGCTACTTGGGAGGCTGAAGCAGAACTGCTTGAACCTGGGAGGCAGAGGTTGCAGAGAGCCGAGATAGCACAACTGCACTCTAGTCCTAGCAACAAGAGCGAAACTCCATCTCAAAACAACAACAACAACAAAAGAATACGTGAATTAGGGATGTGGCACTTGAAAAGGAAGAAACAACAAAAAACTTAGTTTGGAAAACAAATACCAAACAGAAAACCCATGTCCTTTTTGCATGGCACTCAGAATAGTATTATACGACATTAAGAAAAGAGTAAATGGCCGCTCCATGCTTGCTGCCTAAAAGAGTATATAAAATATTTCAGATAAATTTTATCAATTTTTAAGTTTTTCTGCTTAAATAAGCTTCAGTTAAAGAAAAACTCACTTCTTCAGCACAATTTATTCCCCAATGACACCAGATGAATGAAAACTTACTATACTATTAAAGCTTTTTGAAAGTTTAATTCATTATCGATACTATGATTTAATGATACATGGCTAAACGCTAAACAACAAATTTGGCAATATAAAATAAGTCAAAGTGATAGCTGTGACATAAATATTTTATACCATTTCAAATTCTATTTAAGATCATCAGAAGTCAAAATGATCTATTTAAGAATTGTCTACCTTTTTGAAAATGTATATTTATAATTGAAAGGGGATACAATGTGAAAATATCAATTGTATTTCATACAAACATTTTGACCAAAATGAAAAATCACCATTAGCATCATCCCAATTAAAAACTAATAATGCATTGATAAGATCACAGAGAACAAAAGTAGCCTGAAACCAGTGCTGTGAGTATTTTTAAATTTTTATTAAAACTTTTTGTCATTGTACCTGCAATTATTTTAGGCTTGACCCAATTTCTTTATTCCCTAAGCCATGATCATTTTCAAGGTGAACTACATTTTTATCTACCTCCTTTAGCACTTAGAACTGCTGTGGTAGTTGAAATGTTTTTAACAGTATAGATAGTAAAAATCTGCAATATTCCATTGATTTACTGAAAAGTATATGCTAAATATAAGTATATCATGTCAATTAAAAAAATAAATTTCAGTCACACTGAAACCTGTAATTAGCCTTCATATGACGTCAATTTAGTTACCTATAATATTCAAATCATTTTCCAACCAAACACCTAGTAATAATTTTAAATCAGAGAAATTGTTGTATTAATATATTCCATAGACACCTTTCTGTTATTAGTTGTAGGAAGCTACAGTTTCAGTGATGATGGTTTTAACGGTTTTGATCCCACACACATGAGAAATTGATTCCACAGGCTAATCCACATATGGCTTGATACCTTAAAACTTCAATCAAATGTTGAAAATATAGTTTTGATTTACCTATATGCAATATTTGGAAACTTAAGTTTGTTAAAGCAAAAAACAGTGGGCTTAAACACTAAATGGCTTAATTTGGGGAAAGTGAAACTTGAGCAGTATTTCTCAGTAGGTCATCAGAAGTTTACCTGGTATTTTCTTACTGACCCTTTCTCTCCCTTCCCTTCTGCACCTCCACCCACCAACACACCCAGGTTCTATTTAAAAAGCAACCAATAACCCAGCAGAGTAAAACGGGGCAGTGGTGAGAAAAGTTAGTATTACCTTCCAGCCCACTCATTTATTTTAATGATTCATCATGGAAACCCCAAGTTGTTAAAATATACCTGAAATCTCATTAAATAGTAAAAATAAGCATGAAAAGATCTCTGCTTTAAAACATGTCACCAGTGATTCCCCTAACAGAAATCTATTAAGAGTGTGAAGTAAAAATACGTTTTGCTAAAAAACTTTCCTCAAAGTAATGTACTACAATCAATTATCATACGGGGAAAAAAGAGACAAGATAAACAGATTCTACTAAAATGTTATTTTTAAAATTCTTCTATAAAAATCAAGCATCGCAAATTCATCTTAACCTCTAAAACCTGAACATAATCTCTGAAAACTGAAATAAAATCTGGTATCAAATGCAAAGTAATAATTTTGCAGTCATAAAACTCTATGCACTGAAAATATTCTACATAAATGTAAACAAAGTTTGGCTAATATAAAAGAATCTGCTTCCAGAGTATTAGTCTGAACTGCAGATAACTAACACTTGATGGATACTGATCATTATTCCATTATTTGGTTAGGGACATACAGTCTAACATTTATGTTGTAGTTGTGTACTACCATATGTACTTAAATAGCAACATTTTGTTTTAATCCTGGGTTCAAATTGACAAAGATGTGGTAAGCTAATAATATATACCCCGCTCAATGCTATGGATATGCTAATCTCTTCAACTCTTAACTTTTGTGTCTTGCTGTAGAGACTAAGAACTGCGAATTCATGCATCAAAACAAAGATTTCGTAGGAAAACTCATACGTCATATTTTCTGTGAGAAAATTTAAAGCTATTTTCAAACGTGCTTTTCCAATTATATGAGTTGCAATGATCTTTTAAATACAGGCTCTTTGCAAAGTTAGCATCTTATATGTATTAGCGACTTTAATTTTCCCTGAAAAACATTTCTTTTTTTTCTGTTGGTTTGGAATTTAACTTTCTGCTTAAAAGTATCAGTCATGGGTGGGTGCAGTGGCTCATGCCTGTAATCCCAGCACTTTGGGAGGTCGCGGTGGGAGGATTGCTTGAACCCAGGAATTTGAGACCAGCCTGGGCTGTTGTGAGACTCCATCTCTACAAAAAATTTAAAAAATTAGCTGAGCGTAGTGGTGTGTGCCTATATTCCTAGCTTCCCCAGAGGCTAAGGCAAGAGAATCACTTGAGCCCAGGAGTTTGAGGTTACAGCAAGCCATGACTGTGCTACTGTACAGAGCGAGGTCCTATCTTTATTTAAAATATATATATATATATATGTCACTTATTCCAGGACTTGAATTAATAAAGTGTCTTGGTTAAAACTCACAAGCATCAAATGCAAACTCAGCAAATAGTTACTGAGTACTTACCATGTACTAAGCACATCATGTACTTGTTTTCAAATATGCACAATTCTACAAATAACTAGATAAGTATATATTAAAAATTCAATATATCATTGTAAGGTTATATTCCACATTATATAACACAATTACAAGATTTTTGTTTGTGTGAGAAGTTGAGTGGTTTAATTCCACTGACAAATAAAATACTAACCCTCTTTCAATTTTTTAATGCTATTAATTCCATGAATAATTTCAAACTATAAAAGCAGCAATGAATTCGTTCTACTGAATACTACAAATATTTTTAATTTGCCAACAGTCACAAATGTGGCAGCATATTTATGAATCAACAGAAAGTTTTACACCAGAAAATCATCTCAACACTCATTTAAAGTATCGCATTACCCTTTTAACTAGGTCTCCATGCTACCATACAATCTTGTTGCCACCACACCATTCTCCTTAAGCTAATCACAAATAATCTTTCCAAAATGGAAATGTGACCATAAAATGACATGCTCAAAAACCTTAAATCATTCTAAGGGTAAAATCCAAGGCACTACACATGGCAATTAAGACTCATTTCCTGGCCCCTTCGTTTCTCTTCACTACAGCCACATTTGGCCTTCTCCCACTTCAATCCCTTTTCTCCAACTTCCCCAGACTCTACTTTGTAGCAAATACCAAACACCCACACTCCCGGAGCTGTTTTAGACTCTTAAAACTTCACACTTTTATCTCACCTCCATCAGCCTTCTCTCTTTGTTCACCTAATGAACTTTTGTTAAAATTTCTGCTCATGAATCACCATTTCTGTGAAGGCTTTCCCTGAACTCCTCCTAAGCATGACTTCCTTTATACTCTGTAAAGCAGAATTATAATTGTTTCACTGTAGTCACATGTTCTGCTTCTCCATGGGGCTGTGAAAATCTGAAAACTGGGCGCTGTGCCGTTATTTTCCTGAAAGCTGTCTCAGAACCCGACACACAGTAGACAAACTAGGTTTTTCTGGAACTGAAGTGAAAATCTGGGGGACACAGAAAGTTGCTTTCTTCTGCCTTGAAAGTGACACTGGCTTCACTTAACACAGGTTCTGAGCAACAAGTGTCAGGCAGTACTGTACTTGATACTAATGATTTCCCATTATTCCTGAAGTCTAAACTAAATCAAGCAGCAAGTATATCTGGACACATTTTATTATGTTCTCTTTCAAATACTGATTCTGCATTGTTGACAGAAGCAGAATTTATGGGAAATAATAAAATTTTTCATATAGGTATGTGT